AAATACTCTTTGAAGTCCACTTCAGCCAACACGGGAGCGCTGGACGCTATGGCACCGACAGCTATGTTGGGGTACTTCTCCCTGAACCAGGCGGCCAATGATCCGGCATAAGAGCCCCCAAACACAACCACTTTGTGTCAATTGGTTTTTAGGTCAATAGACCCGCACCCGTGGAAAGTGGTGTTCACTTGATTGGGTCCAGTTGTGGCAATCAATTCTGTCTAAAAGGACCGCATTTCAGGGCTAGTATTCAAAATGTTATTTATCATATTATATCATTACTAATTATATTTATCATTTGTATTTCTAGATGTTTAGTATATTCATTCTTTCATTATATTCACACCTAGATTAGTCAATAAATATACAGTTAATAAACATAAAGCATATTCAAATAATAGCATAATACAGTAATTTAATTAACAAGTACATTACAAAAAAATTATTTCAATTAAAATATATAAAAGTATAATATTATAAGACTAATGTGATCGATAATTATCATATTATTTTGTTATTAGTATTTATATATATATATCTTTATAAAAATAAAACATTAAAAAACATTATTATTTTTAAAAAAATATGTTTAGTAAACATTTAGTATAATGTTATCAAACAATATAATTATTTCAGAAATTCTTGCAATTCATTTGTAATCAAATTGTGGGCATCTTTGAGACTCTGCGTCTCATTGGCCGAGTAGATCAGGTCAGCGCAATGGGCCTGACCTGAGATGACAACCGATTTGGTACTGTTGTTGAGGTCGTGGAGTACACTCAAGACGTGCCACGGATCCAGTGAGCCGTTAGGGAACACCACGTTTGTCACATTGGGCTGACGGCCCCCGTAGTAGGCGTTAGTGGTGTCCACCGCTTTCTGTATGGTTTGGGCTGTGATTTGGGGCCCAAACACATCAATACACTGTTGGGTGTAGTAGTGGACGGGTATGTTGTGGCCAAACAGGCAGTCCTTCGCATTGGTTGACATAAAGTATCCGAATTCAGTGCACGTCTGATAAGTCCACTGTCTCACTGTTTGTCGAAATAAATGATTAACATATATAAAACTTTTTAAAATGTACACTGAGCCAATAAATTATTTAATAGTGAATTATATTTTAATCAAATTTATTACTTAATTACAAAATTTTCGAATAATATAATACATACTTCCAGTGCCTCCTTTAGATGTATGATTCAATGACTTAACCAGGTCAGTGTATTGAACATCAATGCAATCATCATGTTTGTTACCGAGCAATCTGACATATCTTTGCAACGGAGTGCCACCACTCGGGTCATTCATTGTACGGCGAATAATATCGACGTACCAGGTATTGTACTGAACGGAACTGGCTACTTGTACTAACAAATCGTATAGAAAATAAGCGACTGTTAAGGTGTCGGTGCCGTCGAATGTGTCGCACAGTTTGAACATTTGTCGCACTTTTTTCACCCCTTCCGGTGTTTTTAGCAATTCGTCCAATGCTTGCGTGGCTTCCCTTGAAATACAATCGAAGATTATTCCCAATTGTAGTCCATTTGCATCCCTTTCCCCCACAACCCATACCTAATATTCTGTGAGCACTCCATTCCCAATGAGTCGCTAACGACACCTAAATACTCTTTGAAGTCCACTTCAGCCAACACGGGAGCGCTGGACGCTATGGCACCGACAGCTATGTTGGGGTACTTCTCCCTGAACCAGGCGGCCAATGATCCGGCATAAGAGCCCCCAAACACAACCACTTTGCCTGAAAGTGACAACTTTTTAGTCAAATACTGTATGAACTGAGCCGTATCGGCCAACGCCTGTTCGCTGGACAGGTATTTCAGGTTTTCAACGGTTGTTTCGTTAAACGGTTCGGACTCTCCGTAATACCGGTGCTCTATAACTTTTTAGTCAAATACTGTATGAACTGAGCCGTATCGGCCAACGCCTGTTCGCTGGACAGGTATTTCAGGTTTTCAACGGTTGTTTCGTTAAACGGTTCGGACTCTCCGTAATACCGGTGCTCTAATGTTGCCATGAATGCATTGAATTGTTTAGCGCTTTTTACCATATAGCTATAAAAAATAGGACTGGCGGCCCCTTCACCCTCTATCATAACAAATACGGGTCCACCAGTTTTGTAGTGCGAATCGTCGGTATAATACAGCTATAAAATAGTATCATAAAAATATTAGTCTCTACTCTATGTTGTTTAAATATAGAATAATTTACTAATTATAAGAATATAATCATAGTATTCCACAAATTCCTATTAATTATAATGTACGAATAATATTATACATAATTATAAATATATATTTAATAGTAATTTAATAAATAAATAGTGATCTAAAAACCTGTTTAAAAGTGCGGTTATCCTTAGCGTCAAAATGGTTGAGTCTCTGGTCATAGTATTGGGGTTTGATTTCCTTAAGTACTTCATCCGGATCAGGAACGGGTGGTCTAACCATACCATACTTGTCGTTGGGTCGACCCCTAAACATAGTCAGCCTATTAGTAAGCGCCCCATTCACGTAGCAATTTAGAAATGTTACAATAAATATAATATAAAAATTCATTTTAAATGATATTTAATTTTATAAAATTGCACAAAATTAATAAAATTAATTTCTTTGGCTTCATAAAATGAATTCTTAAATGCTCTTTATATATTCATTGTAATCATAATTTTTATTAAGATTTCCAATACTTTTAAGATCATACTTAATTAGTGATATCGTATAGATTACTTTCTTAATAATCGTTGCACCTGTTATTTGTATTTTAAGAAAGGTAAAAATAACATTTTAAAAGTACCACTGTTATATAAAAATAATAAATTTCTTGCACTAATTTGTGTACTAGTGTACTACATTATCATTAATGTGACAGGAGGGTAGAAAAAAATATTTTTAATAATTAGTACAATCACTGATATAAATTCTTGGAATTGAATCTGGTACACATAACTCTTAATTATTGAATTAAATATAAATTTGCAATTTTAGAAAAATGCAAATTTCATTTTACAATAGTTATTTACTGGTATACAACTATGAGTTTAAATAAGTTAATATTATATATAATACAATAAACTGAAAGCTTGTTGTATTTAAAATACTTGATAATTATTTAAATACATGCTTTAATTGTTAACAGAAGTTAACACTATTTTTTACACTAACATACAATGCTAGACATGAATTTTCTTTTACTTTAATGCTTAAACTAATTAACGTCTAAAAAGAATTTAATATAAATTATAATATTATACTAATAATTCTATGGCTTATATTAGTACACAATTATAGAATATAATGAATCATTATTCATGAAACTGTATGAATACAACATTTTATTTATAGTTTAATATCTAGTAGTTTATTGTCAAATTATGCATAACGTTATATGAGTACCCTGATCACAAATATCTCTAAAAACAAAATTATTTCAAATATTCGGCCAATTGTTTGGTAATCAAGTCGTGCGCATCCTTTAGACTCTTGGGCTCCATTGGGTAGGCGGCAGACATGTCCCCGCAGTGGGCGTACCCCTCGATCAGCACGGCTTTGGTGCTGTTGTTGAGGTCCTGGAGTACACTCAATGCGTGCCACGGATCCAGTGAGCCGTTAGGGAACACCACGTTTGTCACATTAGGCTGACGACCCCCGTAGTAGGAGTTAGTGGTGTCCACCGCTTTCTGTATGGTTTGGGCTGTGATTTGGGGTCCAAACACATCAATACACTGTTGGGTGTAGTAGTGGACGGGTATGTTGTGGCCAAACAGGCAGTCCCTCACATTGGTTGACATAAAGTATCCAAATTCAGTGCACGTCTGATAAGTCCATTGTCTCACTAATTGTCAAAATATGATTAAAATATATAAAATATATAGAACTTATTTAAATGTCCACCAGGCTGATAAATTATTTAATAATTAATTATATTCTAGTTAATAACTTAATTACGAAATGCTATAATAATATAATACATAATTAAAGGTTACAATATAATACATACTTCCAATGCCTCCTTTAGACGTATGATTCAATGACTTAACCAGGTCAGTGTACTTAACATCATGGCAATCATCACGTTTAGTACCTGGATAACCGTTCATTTAGCATACCTTTGCAACGGAGTGCCACCACTCGGGCCATTCATTATCCGACAAATATCATCGATACCAAGATTGTACTGAACGGCAACTGCTATCGATCCCGACAAATCGTCTATAAAATAAGCGACATTTAAGGTGTCGGTGCCGTCGAAAGTATCGCAAAGATTGAACATTTGTCGCACTTTTTTCACCCCTTCCGGTGTTTTTAGCAATTCGTCCAATGCTTGCGAGGCGTCTCTTAAAATACATCGAAGATTATTCCCAATCGTAGTCCATTTGCATCCCTTTCCCCCACAACCCATACCTAATATCTTGTGAGCACTCCGTTCCCAATGAGTCGCTAACGACACCGAAATACTCTTTGAAGTCCACTTCAGCCAACACGGGAGCGCTGGACGCTATGGCACCGACAGCTATGTTGGGGTACTTCTCCCTGAACCTTGTGAGCACTCCGTTCCCAATGAGTCGCTAACGACACCGAAATACTCTTTGAAGTCCACTTCAGCCAACACGGGAGCGCTGGACGCTATGGCACCGACAGCTATGTTGGGGTACTTCTCCCTGAACCAGGCGGCCAATGATCCGGCATAAGAGCCCCCAAACACAACCACTTTGCCTGAAAGTGATAACTTTTTAGTCAAATACTGTATGAACTCAGCCGTATCGGCCAACGCCTGTTCACTTGAAAGGTATTTCAGGTTTTCAACGGTTGTCTCGTTAAACGGTTCGGACTGCCCGTAGTACCGGTGCTCTAATGTTGCCAGAAATGCGTTGAATTGTTCGGCGCTTTTTACCACAAAACTATGAAAACCAGGACTAGCGACCCCTTCACCCCCTATCATCACAAATACCGGTCCACCAGTTTTATAGTGCGAATCGTCGGTATAATACAGCTATTAAATAGTATCATAAAAATATTAGTCTCTACTCTAGGTTGTTTAATATAGAATAATTTACTAATTATAAGTATATAATCATAGTAATCCACAAATTCCTATTAATTATAATGTACGAATAATATTATACATAATTATAAATATATATTCAATAATAGTAATTTAATAAATAAATAGTGATCTAAAAACCTGTTTAAAAGTGCGGTTATCTTTAGCGTCAAAATGGTTGAGTCTCTGGTCATAGTATTATGGTTTGATTTCCTTAAGTGCTTCATCCGGATCAGGAACGGGTGGTCTAACCATACCATACTTGTCGTTGGGTCGACCCCTAAACATAGTCAGCCTATTTGTAAGCGCCCCATTCACGTAGCAATTTAGAAATGTTACAATAAATATAATATAAAAATTCATTTTAAATGATATTTAATTTTCTAAAATTGCACAAAATTAATAAAATTAATTTCTTTGGCTTTTTAAATAACTAGTAATGTTATTATTGTCACCAATTTATATGATATATACTGTGCTAAAAGGTACCCGGAATATTCATACAGAATATCGTCATCATCGATATTCCTCATGAATAGTATTAACTGTTTCTGACCACCGGTGCAACGATTTAAACCATAAATATTTATTAAAGTCGCGGTTGAATAATATCTTAACGGTGATATAGCGCTGAGCACTTCTATATTATCACCAAGATCTTCTACAAATATTACAAAACCGGTAAATAAGCCATAGATTTGGTTAAGTAAAAATCCTGTGACAAAACAAAGCTGCTTGTTATTCATCAGGATTACCAAGATAAATGCTATCGTATCGTAAATGTGAACCAGAATTACGTTGAGACAAATGAACACCCAGATCCTTTTGGGTTCATTCAGCTGTGAATTCATTGTGAAGATTATGACACTGTATATACCACTGGAGATTGTCAGGGGAATCATGTCTAATAAATTATGGGTCAATAGGTACGCGCCAGTCGAGTACCAGTCTAAATTAAAATAATAATAATTAAATTATACATTGTCATTGGTTATCATATTTTATATTTAATGTTATAAACATCCAATATTTACTCGCTACCTATTACAATGCAATACTCTGTATATCATAACAGTAAATAATATTGATTTCAATCAAACTTTTCAATGCATTAAACAACAGAATATTCTGCACTCAACTGTTTTGGTGTTCAGCACGGAATCGGTGGTGAGAATCAAACCGGAGTTGAATAGAAAACATCGTTTGAGTGATTATTAGGAAGAAAACACTTGAAAATAGTAAAGATCCGTTTGTCAAGAGTTTATTATTTGTCATCAACTGATCCACACACGACCTCATGTCCATCACGCCATACGTGAAGCAACCGCTGTATTCACCGATGTCCGCGTCAAATGATATGGCTGTCAATACCGACGCCAAACACATAGTCAACAGATATATTAATAATAGTTTCCATTTGTATGAATAGATTTCCATCAGAGACCTCATCATCAGAATCCACACGTCTTTCAATGAAAACCATTTGTTTTTGTGTTCAATGAGTTGTGGTTTCGTTTGACTCACAATAGTATCCAAACAGTCCTTAAATTGTCGTTTCGTTTGATCCCTTAATTCGCATACTTTTTGTTCGTTAATACCTTTCGACGAGATTGTGATCAAAGTCTCAATGGGAACCTGATTTTCGGTACAAATGAGGTGACACTCCGATAAGTGTCGGGTCAGTCCGGTAGGTGTTCCCCAATACACACAATAACCCCTTTTGGCCAAAACATACAATTTATCAAACATTTGAGAGCCCATAACCAAAAACCTCATTTAATTTCAAAGTACTCTTAATTATAAAGGTACTAATACTATGAGAGTTCAATACAGGTTTTAACCTGTGACCCTAACATTGGTCAGTCATAATATGTGACATTTCAATGTGTTAAACCTGTTTTGTTTATAAGTTTGCTCTCAAAATTGTACAAAATTAATAAAATTAATTTCTTTGGCTTAAAATTAATTCTTAAATGCTCTTTATATATATATTCATTGTAATCATAATTTTTATTAAAATTTGCAATACTTTTAAGATCATAATTAATTAGTGATACCATATAGATTAATTTCTTAATAATCGTTGCACCTTTTATTTGTATTTTAAAAAAGGTAAAAATGACATTTTAAAAGTACAACTCTTATATAAAAATAATAAATTTCTTGCACTATTTTGTGTGCTAGATAATAATAATAGCTTTGTATAAATCATATGAGAATATAATTATGATACATTATCATTAATGTGACAGGAGGCTAGAAAAAAATATTTTTGATAATTAGTACAATCACTGATATAAATTCTTGGAATTGAACCTGGTACACATAACTCTTAATTATTGTATTAAGTATAAATTTGCCATCTTAGAAAATTAATGCAAATTTCATTTTACAATAGTTATTAACTGGTATAGAACTATGAGTTTAAATAAGTTAATATAAATTATAATCCACTAAACTTAAAGCTTGTTGTATTTAAAATACTTGATAATTATTTAAATCTGATTTAAAAACCAATACATGCTTTAATCGTTAACAGAAGTGAACACTATTTTTTACACTAACATTCAATGCTAGACATGAATTTGCTTTCACTTTAATGCTTAAACTAATTAAGTTCTAAAAATAATTTAATATATTAGTAGTTTAAAATGTTTTATTATCAGGGTCACCGATGTGTTTATAATTTAAATTAATATTTTTAAATATAAAGTAACAGGTAAAATGATATCAAGCGTTACTTTTTTATTAAAAATATAAACATGTAATAATCGTATTTTTGTAGTTTTATATTTTAAGGGTTTTTTAGGTTCCCACGGGTTTCCCGAAATAAGGCTTTCCTATAAAAAACCCTAAGGGTTCGGGTTTTAAAAATTTGTCAAACTTTGGACTCTAATAAGAAGTACTCGTGAGTTACTCGTAATAAATATGTTTATTATGTATAATGCTATCAAACAATACAATTATTTCAGATATTCTTTCAATTCATTTGTAATCAAATTGTGGGCATCTTTGAGACTTTGGGTCTCTTTGTCCGAGTAGTCCATGTCAGCGCAATGGGCCTTACCTGAGATGACCACCGCTTTGGTGCTGTTATTGAGGTCGTGGAGTACACTCAATGCGTGCCACGGATCCAGTGAGCCGTTAGGGAACACCACGTTTGTCACATTGGGCTGACGGCCCCCGTAGTAGGAGTTAGTGGTGTCCACCGCTTTCTGTATGGTTTGGGCTGTGATTTGGGGTCCAAACACATCAATACACTGTTGGGTGTAGTAGTGGACGGGCACGTTGTGGCCAAACAGGCAGTCCTTAATGTTAGTTGACATAAAATATCCGAATTCAGTGCACGTCTGATAAGTCCATTGTCTCACTATTTGTCGAAATAAATGATTAACATATAAAATCTCCGCCAAAATCGTGTTTACTCGTTTAATTAAATTTTAAAATACTTAGAATAGAGCTAGATTAAAACAAAATTTTTTGCAACTATGGTTTTATTGCACCAACACACTGATA